ATGTTTTATAAAATTTGCCAAATTTCAATTCCACAAGAGTCATGGGTCCTGGATTTTGGACGCATTCTGTAAGTTAGCCCATTTGAGGTACCTTGGTTCAAAAACTGTTGGCCTATGATGCACCATTTTGCCCAGTTAAAGGTTACAGACAAACAGACACGAGAATTTTAGTACTATATAGATGGAACTTCCATGCCCACAGGCAGTATACCTCTGAATTCCACTTGCTGATCAGAGAGCGAGCCAAGACATATCAATTTCTGGTGCTGTTGGTAGAATTCCTCCCAAACATATGACTATCCACTGTGGGAGACAGGATGAGCTGATTTTAGCATGGTGCCAATGTTCCACAAACAACTTTTTCCAGTACTGTGTTGAGGTAATATCCTCACTAAGACTAGCAATAGAAACATCTGGGCTGCCACAGCAGGGAAGTTCTTGTGGGGTCACTTGTAACCGGGAGGTAGTTGAGATGTAGTTCCCTTTAAAAGTTTTCTTCCATTCTAAACTGAAATAAATCAATGTGATGTTCTGTTTCATTCCAGCTCATCGCACTTAAAAATGTGCCTTTGGGGAATGACACTGGACAGGTTCATTTAAATCATACAAACAAAACATGTAATTTGCTTGTTTGCAGGTTAGTGTATATCAGTGTTCCTCAACTTTGAGAACTTTAAGATGTGTGGACTTCAACTCCCAGAATTCCCCAGACAGCCTTGCTGGCTGGGGAATTCTGGCAGTTGAAGTCCACCATCTTAAAGTTCTCAAGGTTGAGGAACACTGGTGTGTATGAACCAAGGCACTACAGTTCATGAACCTTTTATGGTTTATCTTGTTATGGGAGAGCAACCAGCCTGTTGCCCTAGTTAAAGGCTAGAAGCAGAACTAAATGGCAGAAGAAGAAAATACATAAAGGCAACCTACAGTTTCCTCCAGGAATAGCCATCTATCCTGAATACTATAATGTAGTTGGGTTTCCTGGGTCAATGGGGCTGGACTAGATGACCTTTATGGTCACCCAATATTCTCTGAAGCCTCAGCCACCTCACAAACAGGAAATTAGCCCAGCTGACTTTTTTCTGCAGTTGAGCAAACTTTTTGTGTTCAAGTGCTACACTTCATTCGATTTTTAGCATTTCGGGTCCACAGAGATGTCACCCGAGGAGGAGGAGCCAAAATGTTACCTCTTTTCTTATATGACAAGGCAAATGCAGGAGGCTTAACGCCCCTTTATTTTAGCTCTTAGTTTTCAAAACAGCCACAAATAGAGACCCTGGAAAGGGAAAAATAATGGGAAATAAGAGGAAATAAAGGAAATTGGGAGCTAATTCTTAAGGTTGAGTAGCTTTATTCCAACATATTTGCTCTCATTCAGACAGACTAAAGAGGCTTTCTGGAAAAATGTGATGGCCCAAATGTAATTATTGCCTGGAAATTCTGGCTATAAAAAACTTTTTTGAATATTACCTTGGATCCAATTTCTGTTTTAGAAAATATTCTCCAATAGTGGAGATCATCTGTCAGCTAGATCTCTGAATGTGATTTTGGCAACAGCTACAGCTTTACTATCAATTCCTTCACCTTGCCAATGATATTGATTGGTTGATAATGATTCGGGAGATAGCTGAAAACCATAAATTAGTGGGAGACATTTAGCTGAGAAAAATATGTTTCAAATCATATTTGAGCCCATGATGAATAAAGGAAGGCTGTATGTAATATACCAGAAGGCATAATGAAGATTTTTGCTGTAGTAAAAAAAATAAAAATAAAACTCACCCCTTTCCCCATTAATGTCAGGGAAACATTGTATGCATTTTTTTTAATGGGAAAATAA